CTGGGGATGCATCCAATTCCATCCTTGGTGGAGTTCAGCATGCTCTTTGATTGTACTAGTCTACCGCGATGGCTTACTTTGCGTAATGGCTTCGCCGCCCCTGGGGATACAAGCAGGGGGACTCCGACGATCCGGCGGGTCTAAAATTACCTTTGCGCTCAAGTTGTCGCCCCGGCTGTTTTTAGCAAGCGGGAGCAGCAGCTGCCGGCCAAATCCCTCTCCCCGGGTTCATTCTGTGCTAAGGTCACGCAGGTCTTCATTCTTCATGGGAAACGACGAGACTTCGGCTCGAGACGACGGGGATTTCCAAACTTTTTGTGCCGGCGACATGCTTTCCTAGACCTGCCCCCTTTTTTGCAGCACAGCCGTTCAGTTGTAGGAGCAAAACGACTCATTGTAAGATTTGCATACAGAATGGAAGGAGAGAAGGAAGAAGGGAAAGAAGGAGAGAAGGAAGGAAGGAAAGAAAGGTAGAAAAGGAAGGAAGAGAAAGAAAAGAAGAGAAGAAGGAAGGAATGAAAAGAAAGAAAGAGGAAAAAGGGAGAAGGAAAGGAAGAAAGGAGAAAAAGGAAGGAAGAGAGAAGAAAGAAGAGAAAGAGGAAAGAAGAGGAAGGAAAGAGGAAAGAGGGAGAGAAGGAAGAAAAGAAAGGAAAGAAGGAGAGAAGGAAAAGAAGGAAAAGGAAGGAAGGAGAGAAGGAAAAAAGAAAGAGGGAAGGAAGGAAAGAAGGGTAGAAAAGGAAGGAGGAGAGAAGGAAGATAAAGAAGTAGAGAAGGAAGGAGAGAAGGAGGAAAAAAAGAAGGGGAGGAGAAGGGAGAGGAACCAAAGAGCAAAGGAAGCGAGAAAAGAAACAGGTAGAGAAGGAAGAAAGAAGAAGAGAAAGAAAAAGAAGGAAAGAAAGAGTGAGGGAAGGAAGGAAGGAGTGAAAGAAAGAAGGAGAAGGAGGGAGGGAAGGCTTGCCACAGCAACGCGTGGCGGGTACAGCATAATAATAATAATAATAATAATAATAATAATAATAATAATAATAATAATACTATATTTGTACCCTGCTACCATTTCCCAGTGTTTAGTGGACATTGACCTTGATTTTGGGAGTTGTAGTTCACCTACATCCAGAGAGCACTGAGGACACAAACAATGCTGAATCTGGAGCAAACTCTACACAAATACTCAATATGCCCAAATGTGAACACTGGTGGAGTTTGGAAAATAGAATCTTGACATTTGGGAGTTGTAGTTGCTGGGATTTATAGTTCACCTACACACAGAGCATTTTGAACCCCAACGATGGAATTGAACCCAACTTGGCACACAGAACTCCCGTGACCAACAGAAAATACTGGAAGGGTTTGGTGGGCAGTGTCCTTTGGTTTGGGAGTTGTAGTTCACCTATATTCTTATATCCTTGATTCCTGTGTCATTTCCTCTATAGGGTTTTAGCCCAATTCTATTGTTGTTAACAACAAATGGAGTTAATGTCTAGACGTGGGTCCCACCTCTTAATGAGGTCTCATTATGCATATGCAATTGGCTCCGCCCCCCACAGGTTTGGAGCTTGACTGGCGCAGAAAGCTGCCAATCCAGTTGGCCGAAACCTCTTCCTTTCTCGAGTCATGATGCTCACGGCAATGTTGTGGTCCAAATGCATCCGATATTTCCCCAAAAAGATGCCTACTTTCTCCCTTCTCCAGCTCTTGAGTGGACCTTCCCCACAAGGTCTCAATGGCAACATGGCTCTCTTTGTGGCTTCTTCCTTTCCTCCCTCCCTCCATTTCCTTTCTTCTTTTCTCCTCTCTTTTCTTCCCTCCTTTTTCTTTCTTTCTCCCTTCTCTCTTTCCTCCCTCCCTTTTTCCTTCTTTCCTTCCTCCTTTTTCTTCCTTCCTTCTCTCTTTTCTTCCTCCCTCCTCTCTCCCCTCCTCTCTCTCTTTTCCTTCCTTCCTTTTTCTCTTTTCCTTTCCTCTTACCTTCCTTCCACCCTTCTTTTTCTTTCTCCCTTCTCTCTTTCCTCCCTCCCTCTTTCTTCCCTCTCTTTTTTCTTTTTCCTTCCCTCTCTTTCTTTTCTTTCTTTCTTCTTTTTCTTTCTTTCTTTTCTTTTCTTTCTTTCTTTTTTCCTTCTTTCTTTTTCTTCCCTCTTTCCTTACTCTCCCTATCTTCCCTCCTTTTCCTTTCTTCCTTCTCTCTTTCCTTCCTTCCTTTTTCTTTCTCCCTCTCTCCCTCCCTTCCCTCCTTTGTCATTCCTTCCTTCTTTCCTTCCCTTTTCTCTTTTCCTTTCCTCTTACCTTCCTTCTACCCTTCTTTTTCTTTCTCCCTTCTCTCTTTCCTCCCTCCCTTTTCTTCCTTCCTTCTCTCTTTCCTTCCTTCCTTCCTTCTTTCCTTCCTTCCTTCTCTCTCTCTCTCCTTCCTTCCTTCCCTCCCTCCTTTTCCCCTTTTTCTCTTTTCCTTCCCTCTTACCTTCCTTCCACCCTTCTTTTTCTTTCTTCCTTCTCTCTTTCCTCCCTCCCTCCCTTTCCCCCCTCTTTCTTCCCTCCTCTTTCTTTCTTTCTTTTTCTTTTCTTTCTTTCTTCCTTTTTCCTTTCTTTCTTCTTTCTCTTTCCTTCTTCCTCCATTTTCTTTCCTTCCTTCCTCTTTCTTTCCTCCCTCTCTCCCCTCCTCTCTCTCTCTCTCCTTCCTTCCCTCCTTCCTTCCTCCCTCTTCTTCCTTCCACCTTTCTTTCTCCTTTCTTCTTTCCTCCCTTTTCTCCCCCCTCTTTCCTCCCTCCTCTTTCTTTCTTTCTTTCTTTCTTCCTTCTTTCCTTCCTCCCTCCTTCCCTTCCTTCCTTTTTTTCTTTCTCCTTTCCCCTTCTTTCCTCCTCTCCCCTCCTCTCTCTCTCCTTCCTTCTTTCCTCCCTTCCTTCTTCCCTCCCTTTCCTTCCCTTTTTCTCTTTCTTTTCCCTTCCTTCTCCCTTCTCTCTTTCCTCCTCCCTCTTTCTTCTCTTCCTTCCTCCTCTTTTTCCTTCCTTCCTTCCTTTTCCTTTCCTTCCTCTCCCTTCCTCTCTCCTCCTCTCTCTCCTTCCTTCCTTCCTTCCTTCCCTCCCTCTTTCCCCTTTTTCTCTTTTTCCTTCCTTCTCTTCCTTCCTCCCCCCCCTCTTTTTCTTCCTTCTCTCTTCCCTCCCTTTCCCTCCTTTCCTCCCTCCTTTTTCTTCCTTCCTTCCTTCCTTCCTTCCTTCCTTTCCTCCCTTCCCTCCTTTTTCTTCTTTCTTCCTTCCCTCTTTCTTTCCTCCCTCTCTCCCCTCCTCTCTCTCCTTCCTTCCTTCCCTCCTTCCTTCCCTTTTTCTCTTTTCCTTCCCTCTTACCTTTCTTTCTCCCTTCTCTCTTTCCTCTCTCTCTCCCCTCCCTTTTCTTTCTTCTTTCCTTCCTATCTTTTCTTCCTTACTTTCTTTCTCCTTCTTCTTTTTCCTTCCCTTCTCTTTTACCTTTTTATCCCATTCCTTTTCCTTCACTTTTCTTTCCCTTATTTTTCCCCTTCCATCCATCCATCCATCTTCCCCTCATATGCGAGTTACCTTTTTTCCCTAGTGACATCCCTCCCTTCCTTTCCTCCACAGGTTCCTCCTTCCTTCCTTCCTTCCCTCCCTCCCTCCCTCCCTCCCTTCCTTCTCTGCATGTCTCCTATAACCTTCTCCCTTATTGTTGTGATTGCATTTCCTTTTTGGGGAAGCCCCGCCCTCCTTTTCTTGGCAGGCCCGGGGGACTCGGTGCCCGGCTCTGTAATGTCCGGAGGGAAAGCAAAGCAAGGCTGCCCAGCATTCTGTCTTCGGTGCCAGTGGCCTTCCCATCCGCTGGTTCTATCCTCAAGTGCTGGGACAATCTGCAAAATAATACAGTTTCTCTACTTAGATATCAGTAGAATGTCCTCGTCTTGCCACAAACAAGCAGTTTCTTTGGCACTCCAAAGGGATTCAACTTCAGGGCGCTGCATAACCACTCCCAGCAACAGCCAAAGATCTTGGAAACACGTACATTTCGGAGTAGGAGGAAGGTTCTATCCTCAAGTGCTGGGACATTCTAGTTCTCCATGGGACACTTTGGAAGAACTAAACATATATGTATTTATGGGAAAGAGTAATCCTAAGGCATGAAGCACAAAGATGCAGAAGGGAGCATGTCAACCCAACATCGCCTTGAAGTCGGAGGGACTCCTGCTCCTCTGCTTTCATCCCTTCTTTCTCTCTCCTCCCCTGACCCTCCATTTTTCTCCTTTCCTTTGTTTCCCTTCTTTTTTCATTCTTTCTTTCCCCCAACCTTTCTCCCTTCTCCAGCTCTGAGAGGACCTATCTCCTAATATCGCCATGCCAACATGGTTCTCTTGGTGGCTCTTTCTTTCTTTCCCCACTTCTTCATCTCTTTTCTTTTCTTCTCTTCTTTTCTCTTCTCTTTTCTTTATGTACTCCTTTCTCCAGCTCTGAGGAAGCCTTCCTCACAATGTCTGCATGGCATTACTCTCCTTCCTTCCTTCCTTCCTTCCTTCCTTCCTTCCTTCCTTCCTTAACTTTCCTTCCTTCCTTCTTCCTTCCTTCCTTCCTTCCTTCCTTCCTTCCTTCCTTCCTTCCTTCCTTCTCTTTTCTCTTCTCTTTTCTTTATGTACTTCTTTCTCCAGCTCTGAGGAAGCTATCCTCACAATGTCTGCATGGCATTACTCTCCTTCCTTCCTTCCTTCCTTCCTTTTTCTTTTCTTTTCTTTTCTTTTCTTTTCTTTTCTTTTCTCTTTCTTCCCTTTCCCTCCCATTTCTCCCTTCTCCAGCTCTGAGGGGGCCTACCTACTCTTAGTGGCTCTTGCCTTCCTCCACCTGACTTTTCCATCCCCTTCTCTTTCTCTTCCTTCCTTTTCTCTTCCTTCCTCCCTTCCTTTCCCTTCCCTTCCCTTTCCTTTCCTTTCCCCTTTCTCCAGGTCTGAGGTAGCGTTCCTCACAACGTCTGTATGGCAACGTGACTCTCCTTCTTTCCTTTAATATAGAGATTTATAGTCAATGAATACTTTTAATACAGAGATTAATAGTTAATGGAATAGATTTCAAGCTTTGCCGTCAGAGAAGAATGCACGTGCCATTTGCACATATTAATTAACAAATCAATATTTATTTTGTGTTGTGTGTTTGTGTCCAATCTTTTTCAGGGAAGAAAAAGAACCAGGAGGCGAAAAACAAAGGCAAGAAAGCCAGGGACAAGAAACAGGAAACTGTTTTGGATTTGACTCCTGTCGACATGAGGGAGCCCAATGAAGGTAAGACCAGTCTCTTCCTGGGTTTTAGTGGGATCCAGTTGAATGTTCGGAGAACAAGTATCAGGACAATCAAAGACTCCTCTGAGTTCGCTCATTTGGTCGCCCAAATGGAAATGGCAGTCAGAAGAAGAGGAGGATTGGGAAGGGCAGCTGAAAAGACGCTAGGCAAGATCCTTTTTTGGAGGCATATTGAATGGACGATGAATGGTTGTCTGTTGGGAGGGCTTTGATTGTGCTTTTCCTGCATAGAAAAAAGGGGGTTGGGCTGGATGGCCTTTGTGTTCCCTTCCAACTCTCGGATTTGATGATTATGATGATGATTACCATTACCTTCAGGGGAAGGGGTTGATCTAGATGGCCCTTGGGTTCCCTTTCAACTCTGGGATGTGATGATGATGAGGAGGAGGAGGATGATGATGATGACGACAACAACAACAACCATTATCTTCAGAAGAAGGGGTTGGTCTAGGTGGCCCTTGGTTTCCCTTCCAACTCTAGGATTCAATGATGATGATGATGATGATGGTGATAACCATCATCATCAGGAGAAGGGGTTGGACTGGATGGCATTTGGGTTCCCTTCCAACTATAGGATTCTATGATGATGATGATGATGATGATGACTGTTCCTGTCATCAGAAGAAGGGGTTGATATAGATGGCCCTTGGATTCCCTTCCAACTCTAGGATTCAATAGTGATGATGATGATGATGATGATGATCTATTCCTGTCATCAGAAGAAGGGGTTGGTCTAGATGGCCCTTGGCTTCCCTTCCAACTCTAGGATTCAATAGTGATGATGATGATGATGATGACTATTCCTGTCATCAGAAGAAGGGGTTGGTCTAGATGGCCCTTGGCTTCCCTTCCAACTCTAGGATTCAATAGTGATGATGATGATGATGATGACTATTCCTGTCATCAGAAGAAGGGGTTGGTCTAGATGGCCCTTGGCTTCCCTTCCAACTCTAGGATTCAATAGTGATGATGATGATGATGATGACTATTCCTGTCATCAGAAGAAGGGGTTGGTCTAGATGGCCCTTGGCTTCCCTTCCAACTCTAGGATTCAATAGTGATGATGATGATGATGATGATGATGATGATGATGATGATTATTCCTGTCATCAGAAGAAGGGGTTGGTCTAGATGGCCCTTGGCTTCCCTTCCAACTCTAGGATTCAATAGTGATGATGATGATGATGATGACTATTCCTGTCATCAGAAGAAGGGGTTGGTCTAGATGGCCCTTGGCTTCCCTTCCAACTCTAGGATTCAATAGTGATGATGATGATGATGATGATGATGATGATGATGATGATTACGATTAATTATTACCATCATCATCATCAGAAGGAGTTGAACTGGATTACCCTTGGGTTCCCTTCCAACTCTAGGATTCAATGATGATGATGATGATTACGATTAATTATTACCATCATCATCATCAGAAGGAGTTGAACTGGATTACCCTTGGGTTCCCTTCCAACTCTAGGATTCTATGATGGTGGTGGTGATGATGATGATATTTACTATTACTATCATCATCAAAGCAAGGGGTTGGACTGGATGACCCTTAGGTTCCCTTCCAACTCTAGGATTTGATGATGGTGGTGGTGGTGGTGGTAAAAATAGTCAATCATGATGGTGGTGGTAATAAGTCAATCATGATGATGATGATTATCATTATTATTACCATCATCATCAAAGCAAGGGGTTGGACTGGATGACCCTTAGGTTCTCTTCCAACTCTAGGATTTGATTATGGTGATGGTGGTAATAATAGTCAATGATGACGGTGGTGGTCATAAGTCAATCATGATGATGATGATGATTACCATCATCATCAAGGCAAAGGGTTGGACTGGATGACCCTTAGGTTCTCTTCCAACTCTAGGATTTGATGATGGTGGTGGTGGTGATGGTGATGGTGGTCATAATAGTCAATGATGATGGTGGTGTTAATAAGTCAATCATGATGATGATGATGATGGTGATTATTATTATCATCATCATTACCACCATCATTAGGAGAAGAGATTGGACCGAATGGGCCTTGTGTTCCTTTCTAACTATAAAATTCAGTGACGATGACTATGATGATTACCATCATCATCAAGGCAAGGGGTTGGACTGGATGACCCTTAGGTTCCCTTCCAACTCTAGGATTTGGTGGTGGTGGTGGTGGTAATAATAGTCAATGAGGATGGTGGTGGTAATAGGTCAATCATGATGATGATGATGATGGTGATTATTATTATTATTATCATTACCACCATCATTAGGAGAAGAGATTGGACCGAATGGGCCTTGTGTTCCTTTCCAACTCTAGAATTCAATGGTGATGATAATTATGATGGTGATGATGATTATTACCATCATCATCAAAGCAAGGGCTTGGACTGGATGACCCTTATGTTCTCTTCCAACTAGGATTTGATGATGATGGTGGTGATGGTGATGGTGATGGTGGTAATGATAGTCAATGGTGGTGGTGGTCATAAGTCAATCATGATGATGATGATTATTATTATTATTACCATCATCATCAAGGCAAGGGGTTGGACAAGGCAAGGGGTTGACCCTTAGGTTCTCTTCCAACTAGGATTTGATGATGGTGGTAGTTCTTGTGGTAATAATAGTCAATGATGATGGTGGTGGTAATAAGTCAATCATGATGATGATGATGATGATGATGATTACCATCCTCATCAAGGCTAGGGGTTGGACTGGATGACCCTTGGGGTCCCTTCCAACTCTAGGATTTGATGATGATTGATGATGATGATGGTGATGGTGATGGTGGTAATAATAGTCAGTTATGATGGTGGTGGTAAATAAGTCAATCATAAGTCAATCATGATGATGATGATGATTATTACCATCCTCATCAAGGCTGGATGACCCTTGGGGTCCTTTCCAACTCTAGGATTTGATGATGGTGATGGTGATGGTGGTAATAATAGTCAATGATGATGATGATGATGATGATGATGATTACCATCATCATCAAGGCAACGGGTTGGACTGGATGACCCTTGAGGTCTCTTCCAACTCTAGGATTCTATGATCCTCAGGTCTGGAACTCTGTCATTGGATACTAAAGTCGGGGTTGCCCACGCCATCCAGTTTCCCATTTGTATGTTCGATTGAGCAGCGAGGAAAGGAAGATTTCCAAATTAGGGTTGACCTGCCAATTTGATCAGCTTGCAGGAGAAAATGCCTATTGTGCCTGGAATGCTCTGCAAGTTTTAATTTTGCTCTCGTTCTCTGCTTCCCAGGTCATAAGGAGGAGGCGGAGGAGGACACCCCCTCGGTTTCTGCAGCACTGTTGCTGGAGCAGACGGCGGTCATCCAAGAGATGGTCAATCAGGATGCGCTTCCGGATTTGGTGGCCTCTGGCCTGGCTGGCGAATCGCGCCCGCTGCCTGTGGACCAACTCAGTGCGATGACGTCTGGGTCCAATGTTACGGGGGAGCAGGGGGAAGGCTCCGAGGGCGGCGAGGACCCTGAGGACAATATGGGGGAGGAAGAGGAGGAGGAAGAGCCAGAGGAGGAAGAAGAAGAGGAAGAAGAAGAGCCAGAGGAAGGAGACGTCGAGCTGCCGAAAGAAAGCCCTGACCCCGAACCGGTCTCCGTTTGTGAAGACAAGCTGGAGTTTGCGGAAGAGCCGAGCGGCACATCTGACGACTCGCCGGAGAGCTCTCCGAAGAAGAAGCCGGCTGCGAAGGGTCCCAAAGGCAGAGGCGAGTCCGGCGGCAGGACGTTCATGTTCCCCTGCCAGCACTGCGAGCGGAAATTCGCCACGAAGCAAGGCCTTGAGCGGCACATGCACATCCACGTCTCGGCGATTGGTCACGCTTTCAAGTGCCGCTACTGCGGGAAAGCCTTCGGCACGCAGATCAACCGCCGGCGGCACGAGCGGCGGCACGAGGCCGGACCCAAACGGAAGCCGGTCACCGCGGCGGCCCAGCCTCCCGAAGGAGATGCCGTAGACCCCAGAGTTGTCGAAGATGTCATTAGTGAAGAAATTAATGCCACGCCGGACTTGGCTGCCGCTGAGCCGGAGAAGATTACTGCAGAAACTCCAAACTCTGTTTCTGCGGAGGAGATCAAGGACACCAAAGAGCTGCACCCTTGCAAATATTGTAGGAAGGTGTTTGGGACGCACACCAACATGCGGCGGCACCAGCGGAGGGTCCACGAGCGCCATCTCATCCCCAAAGGCGTCCGGAGAAAACCGGAGGAGCCGCAACCCCCCGCGGAGCAGGCCCAACAAGCCTCGAGCGCGTACGTGGCGAGCACGGACCTGGAGGAAGAAGGCGAGGCGGACGACGTGTACATCATGGACGTCTCCAGCAACATATCCGAAAACCTCAATTATTACATCGACGGCAAGATCCCGTCCAGCACCAGCACGAGCAATTGTGACGTCATCGAAGTGGAATCGAGCTCCACCGAACTGTACGGGATAAACTGTTTGCTCAGCCCCGTCGCAGTGGAAATAACCCCCAACATAAAGGCATCGCCACTGCACCCGGCGGAAACATCGAAGGAGTTGCCGGCCGGCGGAAGCTCCGAACTGAAGAAGAGGAGGACGGCGAGCCCTCCTCTCCTGCCAAAGATCAAAACCGAGTTGGAGCTGGAGCCCATAACGTCGTTGTGCTCGTTGACGATTCCTCTGACGATATCGACCGCCGAAAGCTTGCCATTCCCCAAAGAGAAAAGTATTTATTTGTCGTCCAAACTGAAGCAGCTCCTCCAGACGCAGGACGGCAACAAAGCGGTGCCGTCTCCACCGTTGCCGTCGGCCGAAATGCCCAAGCTGGGGCACCCTGCTGGGTCGCCGCCTCTCCTGCCCACAGCCTCCAGCAGGTTCAAGAGGAGGACCAGCTCCCCTCCCAGTTCACCCCAGCACAGCCCAGCCCTTCGCGACTTCGGCAAAGCCGGGGAAGGCAAACCCGTTTGGAACGACGCCGTTCTGGGCTCGAAAATCCCCAAGTTGGAGAGTCACAGTAACTCGCCTGTGTGGAGCCTGTCTGGGAGGGAAGAAAAGGAGACGGCGAGCCCTCTGTGCTTGGATGAATACAAAGCACCAAAAGACTGGGCACCAGCTCCTTCTTTTGGCAACGTCTGTAACCAGCAGCCTCTGGACTTGTCCAGTAGCATGAAGCAGCGGTCAAACGGCAAGAACAGGGCTCAAGTTCCCTGGGAATCGGTGTTAGATCTCAGCATCCACAAAAAGCCGTGCAGTGACACGGATGTCAAGGAAAGCAATGCGCCATTGCCATCGTGTAGTACGGTGAAGAAGAAGCCCACCACCTCCATGTTACAGAAAGTGTTGCTCAACGAATACAACGGCATGGAGTCCGCCGCGGAAAATCCCGCACCAGAAACGAGTCCTAGCAAAAATTTGGGCCTCTTAACGGAAGCACATCCAGAGCCAGAGGCTGATGCTGGTTTTCCTGTGGCAGTTGTTGAGTCGGCTTCCCCCAAAACCTCTACTGAGACATCGGTATCGACTGTGCCGCCTCTCCTGATGCCGACGAGCCCTCCTTCCCCGCCGCCCTGTCCGCCTATGTTAAAGATCCCGACACCGCCTCCGCCTTTGCTCCCGACCGTTACGTCTCAGGTCCCGGAAGAGCCCAACAGCATCGGTCCAAGTCCATGCCCGTCCCCGCTGTCCAATGCCACTGCGCAATCTCCTCTTCCAATCCTTTCTCCTACCATTTCAGGATCTCCCATTCCTTCTGTTGAACCTCATAGCTGTCCTTCACCCGGACCCCCCACCCTCTCCTCCTCCTCCTCCTCCTCCTCCTTTTCCTCCTCCTCTTCCTCCTCTTCGTCGTCTTCGTCTCCTTCTCCTCCTCCTCTGTCTGTAGTCTCTTCCGTCCTTTCCCCTGGCGACAACCTAGAGAATTCAGTCTCCACAATGTCAACATTCAAGCAAGAAGAGTTGGAAAACGATACCCAAAAGCCAAATGAAGTCCCGCACGGCTCGAATGAAGCCGAGACCAGTCAGGAACCCTTTAGCAAGAATTTTGTCTGCAACGTCTGCGACTCGCCATTCCTTTCCATCAAAGATCTCACCAAACACTTAGTGGTTCATGCCGAGGAGTGGCCCTTCAAATGCGAGTTCTGCGTCCAGCTCTTTCGGGAGAGGTCCGACTTGTCGAAACACCGCTTCCTGCTCCACGGCGTTGGGAATATCTTTGTCTGTTCGGTCTGCAAGAAAGAGTTTGCTTTCTTGTGTAATTTGCAGCACCACCAGCGAGACCTCCACCCGGACAAAGAATGCACCCACCATGAGTTTGAGGGTGGGACCCTACGGCCACAGAACTTCACAGATCCCAGCAAAGCCAACGCCGAGCTCATGCAGAGCCTCCCCGAGACGTCTTCGGAGCCCCCGAAAGAGGAAGAAGACGATGAGGAACTGAACGATTCCTCGGAGGAACTTTATACAACCATCAAAATCATGGCTTCCGGCATCAAATCCAAAAACCCGGATGTCCGCATGGGGCTCAATCAGCACTACCCGAGTTTTAAGCCCCCTCCTTTCCAGTATCACCACCGGAACCCGAATGGGATCGGAGTCACGGCTACGAACTTCACGACTCACAACATCCCGCAGACATTCACCACCGCTATCCGCTGCACCAAGTGCGGAAAGAGCGTAGACAACATGCCGGAGTTGCACAAACATATCTTGGCTTGTGCATCGGCCAGTGACAAAAAGCGGTACACACCCAAGAAGAACCCCGTGCCGCTAAAGCAAACCATTCGGCCTAAGAACGGCATTGTCCTTCCGAGCCCGGCCGGGAGCAACGCATTCCGGCGCATGGGTCAACCCAAACGGCTCAGCTTCAGTGTCGAGGTGAGCCGTATGTCCTCCAACAAGCTCAAAATTAGTGCGCTGAAGAAGAAAAACCAGCTTGTCCAGAAGGCCATTCTGCAAAAGAAAAAATCCCAGCAGAAGGCGGAGCTGAAAAACAGCGTGGTGGAGCCCAACTCGCACATTTGCCCCTACTGCAACCGGGAGTTCACGTACATCGGAAGCTTGAACAAGCACGCTTCCTTCAACTGCCCCAAAAAGCCTGCGTCGCCTTCCTCGAAAAAGAAAGCCAAAAAGAAAAACAAGGCCGTGTCTCTTTCCGCCAGCGAGAAAAGCAGCAACCAGCGCCGGCGGACGGCAGATGCCGAGATCAAGATGCAGAGCCCACAGGCTCACTTGGGCAAAACCCGTGCCCGGAGCTCCGGGCCTTCACCCGTCTCACTGCCGCCGGCGTCATTCAAATTGAAGCAGAGCATCAAATTTGTGCCGGGCGGTAAATCCAAAAAGCTCAGCGCTCCGGCAGCAACAAAGAGCGCCAGTCTCACAAAAGTGACCAAAATGCTTCCGGCGGAGGGCAGGAAACCCAAAGGGCTGACCAAAAACGGGGCTTCGGGGCTCCCCGGCAAAAGCACCTGCAAACTGCATGTCCGGATTCAGAGGAACAAAGTGACTTTGGCTAACAAGGCCGCTGTGGCTGGAAAGAAGAAGCCGGACCGCTTCAGAGCCAAGTCGAGGGAGAGAGTCGGGGGGCCCGTCACCCGGAGTTTGCAGCAAGCCGCGAGTCCGGAGGCGGCCGAGGGCAAGAAGGAAGAAACCGGCACAAAACCAGAGCCGAAAGAGTTCAGGTAACGCTTTCTGCGGAGAGCAGGGGATCCATCCATCTGCCAATCTCTGAGATTTATATAAGACAGAGAGCAGGGGCAGAAAATATACAGATATAGATCTTAATAATAATATAATATAATAACACTTTATTTATACCCTGCTACCATCTCCCCAGGGGACTCGGTGCGGCTTACATGAGGCCGAGCCCAAAATACAACAATACAAGCAATAAGAACAACAAAACAGCAATTTAAAAACATCCATTACCTGGACCAGTCACAGTCCGGCTTCAGGCCTGGCCACGGCACCAAGACGGCTTTGGTCGCCCTGGTGGATGACCTCCGCAGGGAGCTGGACAGGGGGAGTGTGACTTTGCTGGTTCTCTTGGACATCTCAGTGGCTTTCGATACCATCGATCATGGTATCCTTCTGGGATGACTCTCCGGGATGGGCCTTGGGGGCATGGCTTTGTTGTGGCAGTGGTTCTCAACCTGTGGGTCCCCAGATGTTTTGGCCTTCAACTCCCAGAAATCCTAACAGCTGGTAAACTGGCTGGGATTTCTGGGAGTTGTAGGCCAAAACACCTGGAGACCCACAGGTTGAGAAGCACTGATCTAGGGCAAACTTGCCCAACAGAACAAACTATAAGTACTGTAGTGCAGCGGGGTGGTCGGTACACTAACAGAATCCCTAGTTTGTTTGTTTGGGCCTAACCTGGTATGATGCGATAGTTCACCCACAACCTTATGCATTTTGTATAATTAAAGAGTCCTTCCTGGAGGGTCGATCCCAGATGGTGAAGCTGGGAGACGCCTGCTCGGACCCCTGGCCGTTGACCTGTGGGGTCCCGCAAGGCTCCATTCTGTCTCCCATGTTTTTTAGCATCTACATGAAACCACTGGGAGAGGTCATCCGGAGTTTTGGAGTTGGGTGCCATCTCTACGCAGATGACACACAACTCTACAACTCCTTTCCACCAAACTCCATGGAAGCCCCTTGAGTGCTGGACGAGTACCTGGCCGCTGTGGCTTTCTGGATGAGCAGGAACAAGCTGAAGATCAATCCCGACAAGACAGAGGTCCTCCTGGTCGATCGTAAACCGGATCGGGGTATAGGGTGGCAACCTGTGCTGGATGGGGTTACACTCCCCCTGAAGTCACAGGTCCACAGTTTGGGAGTCCTCCCAGACTCATCGCTTACGCTTGAGGCTAAGGCGTTGACGGTGTCCAGGAGGGCTTTTGCACAATTAAGACTTGGGGCCTGCCTGATGTCCTTAGGACTGGGCCCATAACCAGTCAGAGTTCAGACGATGCCCAGTGGAAGGAATGCTAGATCAGCAGACACTGAGTTGCAAAATAAGGAGTCTGCAGGCTTTGAGTTACAAAAGAAACTAAGTTTACTAAGCACATTACTACAGCGAGCTACAATTCAGGGACTAGTCAAAACTGAAAGCCTCTTCACATCTGCTTATCTTCTCTTGCTGAGACTGGCTACTCCCGTCTGTTCCCAGCAAGAGCAAACCTTACCTTACTTTTCTCAAGTTCACTTAATCACAGCCTCATAGTGTAAACATTTCTGCACAGCGTTTCTAATTCACAGTAACATCCATATTTGCAATACATAGAAGCACAATTAAAACACATACATAACTAAATTAATCCTGACATTCCAGAGTCGAGGGGGCACCACCAAAAAGACCCTCTCTCTCGTCCCCACCAATCGTGCTTGCGATGCAGGTGGGAGCGCGAGCAGGGCCTCCAGATGATCAAAGAGATTGTGTGGGTTCATATACAGAGATGCGGTCACGAAGGTAGGTGGGTCCCAAACCGTTCAGGGCTTTGTAGGTGAGAACCTGCACCTTGAATTGGGTCCGGAAAATGAACGACAGCCAGTGGAGCTCCTTAAACAGGAGGGTTTACCGCTCCCTGTAAGGAGCCCCGGTTAACAACCTGGCTGCCGCCCGTTGGACCATCTGGAATTTCTGAGCCGTTTTCATGGGCAGCCCCACGTAGAGTGCATTACAGTAATCTAGTCTAGAGGTGACTAAGGCATGGACCACCCTGGCCAGATCCGTCTTCACGAGGTATGGTTGCAGTTGGCGCAAGTGTCTTAATTGTATAAAGGCCTTCCCGGCCACCGCCGACGCCCGAGTCTCAAGCGTAAGTCTTAATATATAAAAAGCTTCTGGGCGTTGTGAGTAGCCTAAAAACAAACAAACGATGGGACCAACTGAGGAGATTCCATCTGAACATGAGGAAGAACTTCCTGACTGTGAGAGCCGTTCAGCAGTGGAACTCTCTGCCCCGGAGTATGGTGGAGGCTTCTTCTTTGGAAGCTTTTAAACAGAGGCTGGATGGCCATCTGTCAGGGGTGATTTGAATGCAATATTCCTGCTTCTTGGCAGAATGGGGTTGGACTGGATGATGGCCCAGGAGGTCTCTTCCAACTCTAGGATTCTATGATTCTATGACATCAAATTCGGCCTCCAAACTTCTCATACCGAAAGGTATGACCCACAATCAAAAAAACCCAAAACTGTGAAAATAGCTTTAAAAGGGAGAGAGAGGGAGAGGGAGAAGGACAGACGGAGGGACAGAAGAAGCAAAGAAGCAAGCAAGCCTTTTCCATCGGTCAGGCAAGGAAGGCGAGAGAGGGAGGGATACGGAGGAGCCACGCCAGGAGCCACTGCACAGGCCTCCAGGGAGACACAAGGTGCAGTAACAAATCTCATACTCCAGGCCTGGGCCTACTTGGGCTCTCCAGGCATTTTGGACTTCAACTCCCACAATTCCTAACAGCCATGCTTATGAATTGTGGGAACTGGAGTCCAAAATGTCTGGAGGGCCCAAGTAAGCCTAGGCCTACACACATATACAAACAACACACACATGCACATATCTACACAAACACATATATACACACATATACATATACACAAGCACACACAAATATACACATATATACACATGCACACACATATATACATATACACATACATTGCCTACCCTCATAACCTTTGAAAAGCCTTGCAACTGAAAAGCCTGCCTACAGGAATCCTTTGTGGGGAGGTGTTCCCTAGCCCAGATTGTTTGATGTCTGGGATTCCTGTTTTCTGAGGCCACAGCAACGCGTGGCCAGGGTACAGCTAGTATATATATAAACATATTTTGACTTAGTATATACACAGAATAGATGGAGATGGATTAATGGATGGATAGGAAAGATTATGGAGAGAAAAAGGTGCCTGGAAAGAAGGTGGCTGGGTAGATACATAGGAAAGGGTGGGGGGCTTATGGAGCGAGAGAGGTGGTGAAGGAAGGAAGGAAATGGATGGACATATGGATGGATAGGAAGTGGGATTGTGGAGAGAGGGAGGTGACAGGNAACAGCGCCCCCTGGCAAAAAAAGTATTCCGCCACCGCTTACTTCGAGTAATGGACGGGCCGGCCCTGGACACACCTGAAGCAAGGGAGGTCAGGAGTGATTTTCCTCCTCCCTTCCCTTGTATATGTTTAATGTAGGCAAAGGTGGGATATCCAAGGTCTTGATGTACAGCCTTTTGGGAATGCCTGCCCTGTCTTGGTGCAGATGGCAACAACTAAATAACTCTGTTAACTGCATCTCTCTGCCAAAAGCGGATCTTCTTTTACACATGACCATTGATTGTCCTTTTTAAAATGTATTTTTTTATTATTTTATTTCCAAAATGTACACATTATAACATAATTATTTATATATGAAGCCACCAATCAACAATCATAATTTTACACTTTCCAATAACATTAAAACAAATGTGTGTCATTTGAAATAAAACTTTTTTTACAATCATTTATCCTATCAAGCAATGTATATCTATCTTTGGCAGTCTCTGGCAGTCTTTAGGAGGAGCCTGAAAATGTGGTTGTTCCAGTGTGCTTTCCCAGAATAAGGAAACTCCCAGCAATATGTCCTCTAAATGCACTTTACTATAGATCTAGGAATGTCTGCATGCCCCATCCCTCTCTGAAAACTCTATCCTAGTTCATATTTTATCTGTTCATGCTCAGCATTATCTTTAAATTTTAATTATTACATTTGGCCCAGCCATAGGTTTTTGAATGTCGTTGTGTAACCGTTAATGTTTATTGCTTATTTTTGTTATGAGTTTTATTTATTTATTTATTTACTTACTTACTTTGCTTCTATACCACTGTTCTCAGCCCGGAGGCGACTCATAGCGGTTCACCGCAATAAAAGACAGCAAAAATTCAATGCACAATATAAAACAGTTAGCAGTCTAATCCATTACACAATTAATAACAATAAACAATTAACGATTACTACAGTAGCCATTCACTATCATCTCATCATCAAAAACATAATCCAAATTCGTCATCCATTGATCCACTCCAGTGTTCAGTGTTCATTAACCTATCATTGCTCTTGTTCGAATGCCTGTTCAAATAGCCAGGTCTTCACTTTTTTTCGGAATACCATTAGGGATGGTGCTAGTCTAATGATGGTAGGAAGGGTGTTCCACAGCCGAGGGGCCACCACCGAGAAGGCCCTATCTCTCGTCCCCGCCAGACGTGCTTGAGAAGCAGGTGGGACCGAGAGCAGGGCCTCCCCGGAAGATCTCAAAGTCCTGGTGGGTTCATAGGCAGAAATGCGGTCAGATAGGTAGCTTGGGCCGGAACCATTTAGGGCTTTAAAGGCCAACGCCAGCACTTTGAATTGAGCCCGGTAGCAAATCAGTAGCCAGTGGAGTTGGCACAACAGGGGGGTTGTATGCTCCCTGCGTTCTGCTCCTGTTAGAATCATGGCTGCTGAGCGTTGGACTAGTTGGAGCTTCCGAGCCATCTTCAAAGGCAACCCCACGTAGAGAGCATTGCAGTAGTCTAAATGGGATGTAACCAGAGCGTGGACTACCGTGGCCAAGTCAGACTACCCAAGGTACGGGCGCAGCTGGCGCACAAGCTTTAGCTGTGCAAATGCTCCCCTGGTCACCGCCGAAACCTGGGGTTCCAGGCTCAACGATGAGTCCAGGGTCACACCCAAGCTGCAAACCTGCGTCTTCAAGGGGAGTTCGACCCCATCCAACACAGGCTGTAACCCTATACCCGTTCGGCCTTGCAACTGACCAGGAGTACCTCTGTCTTGTCTGGATTCAATTTCAATTTGTTCGCCCTCATCCAGACCGTCACAGCGGCCAAGCACCGGTTCAGGACCTGGACAGCCTCCTTAGTAGCAGGTGGAAAGGAGTGACAGAGTTGGACATCATCCACGTACAGATGACACCGTACCCCGAAACTCTTTACTTTACTGTTTTGTATTATTTGTTGTTATTGCTTTTATTATTGATGTATTGCGGGCTCGGCCTCATGTAAGCCGCACTGAGTCCCTTGGGAGATGGTAGCAGGGTATAAATAAAGTTTTATTATTATTATATCAATATCTAAAGGCAAAGGTTTTCCCTGACATTAAATCTAGTTGCGTCCAATTCTGGGGGGTGCTACTCATCTCAATTTCTAAGCCAAAGAGCTGGCATTGTCCATAGAACCTTTTAGGTCATGTGGCCAGCATGACTGCATGGAGCACTGCTACCTTTCCACCAAAGCAGTACCTATTGATCTACTCACATTTACATGTTTTTGAACTGCTAGGTTGGCAGAAGTTGGGCCTAACAGCGGGAGCTCATCCCGCTCCCTGGATTCAAACCACTGACCTTTTGGTCAGCAAGTTCCGTAGCTCAGCCGTTTAACCCTCTGTACCACCAGGTGGCCTTAAAAACCACATTAAAGTTCATTTATTTCAATTGAGGTGTTTAAGCACTCCCGGAAAAGTTGCATGAACTCCAAAAGGGGTTTATTTTATTTGACTGTACTCTTTCAATCATACACTTCATTGATAGATTCATGCAATTCTATATACAGTATCCTAGCACTTAGTAGAGCTTATATTTGAGTAGATGTGTACAGGATTGCTTTGTTATTTCATCAAAGGCTTTCATGCACAAGATGCTGCCAAAATACTCCAGATTTATATAGGCTACTGTAACACTATTCAGGATTTAGGTCTAAGTCCTTTTGGTATTCCTAGTAGGTCAAGGTCAACTCAAGTGTTGATTCATGATTTAACAACTAATTCAAAATTTTGGGGGTTGGATCCATTGGAATAACTTGGCCATTTTTCCATAATCCGCTTGATGTACTTGTTCTATGCTATTCAATTTTAACTAGATTTATGAACCAAAAAACCTAGGAAGGGTGGCACGGGGGGGGGGGGGGCGTTGCAGAGCTATAATTAAGGTTTACTAGTATTGATCAAATGACATTCTTCTGTCCCTAAATATTGTTGTGATCTAGACAAGCATCTCAGTTTCTGACAGTGATCACACAATACAAGTGCTACTTATATACTTTCTATCCTGATAATCCAATTACTTTCAGCAAAAATAAAAAAAATCCCTAATAATAAAAATAGGTAAAATTCACAGAAGACAAAGGATAAAAGGAAACTCACGTGTCATATCTTTTGATCATTAAACAATAAGACCTTCTTCTATATTCACAAAGAGAAAGGGATCTCACGTGAACTAAATATGTTTCGTGTCCACAATATCTTTCAACTGCATAATTAAATATGCATTTTTCATTAGGTTAAGTTTACCATGCCTGACAACCTAGTTCTGATTTACTTTCTTATGAGTTTTCATTTGTAGTATTTGTTCACTAATACAGATCTCCCAGTTCTGAACTCCTCAGTACAGAGCCATTGCAATACCACTGGCCTTTAACATTATTGTTTTTTTTAAAAATATCAAGCTAAATAAAAAAAAATAATAATAATCTTTATTATTATTATTATTATTATTATTATTATTATTATTATTATTATGGGGACTCGGGGTGACTAACATGAGGCCAAGCCCGAAAATACATTACAGCAAAATGAAATATAAAACAAGGAAAAATTACATCACAATAAAATACATAAAGCAACAAGATAAAATAAGCAGTGCAAAATAAGTCAAACACAATGTGCAGGCCGAATGCACAAGATATATAATATATATAAGGATATATATAAGGATGTAAAGTGAGT